AAATTAGGTGCTCCATTCATTACTTAGGCTAACACTATGGGGCTAAAATCTACTTAAGAAGGTTACTATACAACAACAAAAAAAATCTGAAAATTCATAGACCACATTTTCTTTAAGTCAAGCTTGAGTGGCAGTACAGCTGAATGGTTAGAACAGTGTTTTCTCATTATTTCTCAACAATTAATCATAATCATAGATAGATAGCATTAGCACTGAGAAAAGTTGTCCACAGAATGTGGAAATGGGGTTGGAAAAAGAGCTAGATGAAAGTCATTGTTGTGTGTTTAAGAGCCCAACAAATAGCTAACTTAGGAATACTAAATAAAATCTGGAACAGTTAAAATTAGATAATGTAGATCCATAATCATCCAGGTGTGGGACTAATTCAGCAATGTTCTGTGGGCAGAAAAAGCAGAGTGGTGAAAGTGGAAAAATGGAAACGATTCATACCTGGTAGCTGAGATAATGACGATGATGAACACTTTTTTGCCTGAGTTAGAAATTCAGCAAATGGTTTTTGAATAGAATTGTGAATAGAAGGGATTTAGGTTATGAGTGAAGACAGAACATCGCATTTGACTATTATTATATGAATATACATTAATATATTGCTATATTAAAGGTTGTCTTAATATATCCCTACTTTTTTATTGTGAGCTTCAATTTTAATTTATTCTTAGGAGATAAATCTGTGTCATGATTTTCTCTGAACAATTTGACTTTCTTGCTTGTTTGTATAGATTGCCATGTATTTTGGAAAATGTATTGCTGTTAGCCTAAAGAATACATGCATGTCCAGCTGTTCATTTTTAACCAGACATTTTTCTATTGCTCTTTGGAAATGAAAAGAGAAGACCTTGAGTTTGGCATAGACATTAATTTAGTTAAAACCAGGGAAATTTTGCTTACCTCTGTCTAAACTTAAAATATTCTTTCTTGTATTATAAAAGATGACAGGATTCCAATACTCACTGTCAAGAGTTTATAATGGAACTTGCCTTGGACTCCTCAATTGCATCTTTGGATATGTTTGGCAGTGTGTGGGACCAAGTCAGCACTCTTGCTTAGCATAAGACAAAGCCTGGAATTTGCCAACTTATATCCTGGGGGTGGGAATTTACCCATAGTTATTTCCCATATTTGGTACTAGTGATAATTAAGCTGAGCTTCACAGATGGAGTTCACTTAGCACATTTAGAGTGACTGAATTTAATTTGTATTTTTATGAGTCAGATTTACTTCTGTTTCTATAAAAAATTATGGAAGAATCTTATAGCAAATTTCTTAAGAAAGAGTCTGTATATTACTCTGGCTGTAATTACTACCTAGTGAAATTTATATGGATTTACCAAAAAGTATGTGGGGGGATGGTAAAGAAAGATTTTGGAAACTGATAAAGTAAAAAGTTTGTAAGACCTATAATATAGGAATATTTAGAGGATAATGGGTTGTGATGGCCTCTGGACCAATCAGAGCTAAGTTTAGCTTTCAGCTCTGCAACTAGACAGTTATATTGCATTAAAGGAATTACTTCAAACTTTGAACTTTAGTCACTTCATCTAAAAAATGATGACAGCAATGCTTACTTACAATGATGTTGGAGGACTGAATGATATAATGTACTCTAAATTTCGTTCTATTTTATTTTGCTCGGTGGTGGTGTTAATCTCTATCACTTGAGTTTCCTGAGGGGTTTTTTCTTTTTTGGTCTAGAATATGACCAATTTAAAAACATTGCTATACATAAAAAAAATATTTTGCACTATTAATGGCTCTTTTACTGATGCATGATTTTGTAATATAATGCATTGGCCATTGGGAAAACATTGCTCCATTGATTTTTCCTGCCTTTTCAAATGTTGACATGTTTCTTTATGAACTACTAAAAAGCCACATTGTCGTTATCATCACTGATTTCATTAGAGAAGAATTTAAATATTAGAAAGCTGTCAAGCTTACAGGGGTGGATACAAGTTTTCCAAAATTCTAATTTTTGCTTGAATTTTATCACTGGGAACAGATGCTGTACTCTTTTTGAAGTAACAATCTTATTTAACTTCATTCATTTATGGAAAAATATCTTCCAAACATCCAAATCATGTCCTCAGTCAGTTATCACAGTTTGTCTGTCCACTGTTGTTTCAAGTAAATATGGAGCACAGTGAAAAAAATGGATAGTTTAGCTTGCAACTCAGATAATAGCAGGAACACTTTTAACTGACAAAAAGAACTGTTTAAAATGCTGCAAAAAAGCATTATATTTCTCAAATTTTCATACAGAATATCACAAAGAAGTCAGGGTTGAGATTTAATAAAATCGATAATTTTTGCTGGCTTTTAAAATTTATATATGTATTAATGAGGAATTCGGTGCTAGTATAGTATGGTTCTTTTACAGATGTTTTGTTCATTTCATCTACATTTTAAAATTTATTGGCATGAAGTTGTATGATATAATCTTTCTATCTTTTTATATCTGTGGCATCTGTGATAAAGTCTCCTCTTTCATTTCTCTTGTGATTTATTTCTGCCTTCTCTTAAAATATTTTTTAATAGCTTTTGTTCTTGAACAGTTTTTTGCCAAGTTTATCAAACATGATTTTTGCAAGATTATTAGATTTCTAAATTACATTTTGGGTTTATTTGTTACTTTACTTTCAAAGATTTTTTCCCCCTTTATTATAACTTTTTTCTACTTTTTTTTAGGTATAACTTGCTCCTTTTTTTCACTTCTTTTTCTGTTTGTTTGTTTTTGTCTTCTTGATTTTTAGTGATGGAGTCTTCCTGTGTTGCCCAGGCTGGAGTGCAGTGGTGTGATCAGAGCTCACTGCAGCCTTGAACTCCTGGGCTTAAGCCATCCTCACACTGTAGCCTCCCAAGTAGCTGGGACCACGTGCACGTACCACTATGCTCAGCTAATTGCTTTGTATCTCATGTAGGGTCTTGCTAAGTTGCTTAGGCTGGTCCTGAACTCCTAGCCTCAAGTGATTCTCCTGCCTCAGCCTCCCAAAGTGCTGAGATTATAGGAATGAGTCACCATGCCTCCAGCCCTTTTTTCACTTCTTGAGATGTGAAATCACTTTATGGATTATCAACTTTTCTCTGTCAGGTCAAAGTATAGAATAAAGATGCTACTCACATTAGATATCTAAATATTACCAAAGATCTGCAAGTAATATATTAATACAAATATTACATATCTTGGAACAATCTTATAAAACATATTAGACTTTTTTTTTTTTTTTGATGGGCAGAGGCATTTAGTCATCTTTTGGCAGCTGTTTCTCTAGTCAAGCAGATATTAGAAGTTGTGCTGATGACAGCCTATTTGAATGAAATCCAGAATTAAATATTCACTGTCATTGCTTGGGAGAAATAGCTCCAAAAGTTAAATGTGGGTGAGACAGGGGTGAATTTTGTTGTTCTAGAATAGCTCCCTGTATTTTTTAAAATAAGCAAATTACTGTTTTTATTCTTTTCTAAAAATTTCAAAATATTACAGGGGTACAAATATTTTTGGTTACGTGTATCAACTTTGCGATGCTTGAGTCAGGGTTATAAGTGTGCCCATCTTCACATTTCTTCCACCAAGTCTGCTATAGTGGCCTGCACCCCACCCTCTAGTCCATGGAACTCCTCTTCTCTGGAAGATGAGAACATTATTTAATTTGCGTTTGATGATCAGGGCTGAGTAGAGAAAAGCAGCCAATTGCTTTATACCTGAATTCTCATAATTGGTGAGTTTCACTGTGCTTACTATTGTAATTTATTTAGAAGAGTAACTAAGGATTAGCATTTTAAGCAAGGTTTTAGGTCTTTGTGGATGAAATGGCTGAAGTTCTATAAAAATAGTGGAAGAGGAAATGGATTTTTTTTTTTTTTTTTGAGACAGAGTCTCGCTTTGTTGCCCAGGCTAGAGCGAGTGGCGTGGCATCAGCCTAGCTCACAACAACCTCAAACTCCTGGGCTCAAGCAATCCTCCTGCCTCAGCCTCCCCAGTAGCTGAGACTACAGGCATGCACCACCATGTCCGGCTAATTTTTTCTATATATATTAGTTGGCTAATTAATTTCTTTCTATTTATAGTAGGGAGTGGGTCTCTCTCTTGCTCAGGCTGGTTTCGAACTCCTGACCTCGAACAATCCATCCACCTTGGCCTCCCAGAGTGCTAGGATTACAGGTGTGAGCCACCGGGGCCGGCCTGGATTGGCTTTTAATTTTATTCTCGTATTTCAGTTATTCTGGGGCATGTTCTTTTTTGTATACTTTAGATAAATAAACTTTACTATTAAGATTTAATGTTCTGTGAACTTTAGGTAAATAAAAAAAAAACGACTTCAGCTCTACTAGCTATGAGAAATTAAATAAGTTATATAAACTCTTTAAACTGTAATTTCCTTATTTTATAAATTGGAGATAATATTGTCTATTTCATTTGGTTAGTGTAAATGAGATGATGTATATATAATGTTTACCAGAGTAGCCAGTATGTTTAATGACTCAACAAATGTTACATGTTAATTGATAATAATACCATAGTACAAGAATAAGTTATGGTGGCTACTTTTACAATATGCATAGATTATCAGTGGTAAATAAAAATAAAAAAAATTATTATTGGGTGCTAAAAAATACTGAAAAAATGATTGTGTGAGTATAAAGAAAAGGGTTATTAACCATTGACTTAAAATATTTCCCTAAATTAGGTAAACTTTATATATTATGAAAAGTGTTTCCATTGCTGAAGACAGTTATAATACATATAATCAAATTCTATAAATTGAATATATTTCATATATGCTAATTTCTACACTTAACAGAATGACATGTATAACTGTACTACTGAGGACTGAAAAAATTCTAACACATTGAAAAGGAATATGTTATTTAAAAGATGAATTATCTCAGAACAATGCATTTCTTGGCAATAAAGTAAAAGTTCTTGTAAATAATTTTTGTGCGCTGTATGATACCGTAAAATATTATGTTTCCTTATTCAGAAAAGCCGATAAAGACACAGAAGAAAGTCTAAGCCAAGAACCTGGTGAATCTCACAATATAGCTGACCATCTTAAAAAAGCACATGGTGGCCTTACTTTAGATGAACGGAAACAATTCATGGAGAATCTGGTAGCGTTCCTAGCTATCATAAAAAAATTGTAAGTATTTTTAATATATTACTTCTTTTACTTGAAGGATTCTTTTGAATGGCTTCATTTTTTAAAAGTTTGTTGTTTGCAGATAGGTGTACTTTAGTTGTGATATAGCACTAGTGGATGATTCAGCAGAGCTGGAAATACTGGAGACTTTGTTTCTAAATAAATATAATCTTCATGAATTCCAGCTTCATGGTATATCATGAATATGTTGCTAAACTTGTGGCCTATCATTTTAAATTGAAGTTGCAAGCAAAATACATGCTATTTACTGATGATGCTAAACCAAAATTATGTTTAAGATTTCATTAGCGTATGGTTACTTGAAGGCTCTTCACAGAGTTTAAACAGACTTCCCCATCAGGGAGCCTTTCAATAAGCTTACTTCACATTCCCCTTGCCTTCCTGGATCACTGTGTGCTGCAATGGCGACACAATTGCCTGGAGGACGAGGGAAGGGAAGGAGAGGAATAAATCTGAATGGAGGCTGGTTATCAGAGATGGGATTGGATTTATGAATAAAGTCAAAGTTAAAATGGGACCATGAGAAAATGTGATATTGTATTTGAGATTGATAACAGAAAGAAAACCAAGAGTAAAAGTATTAAGACTAGATTTTCTTTGAAAGAAATTTGAGTAGCATGGTGTGAATAATTAAAAAGCTGACGTTTATGTTTTGAAGAATGCACTAAGAATTCTATGCTATAACCACTTTTCTTCAAAATTGTCAAGTCATGCACCACAGAGAGACATTTCTGTCAATGACAAACTGCATATACGAGTGTGGTCTCATAAGATTATAATGCTGTATTTTTACTGTGCCCTTTCTATGTTTAGATACACAGATACTTACCATTGTGTTACAATTGCCTACGTTATTATTCAGTACAGTAATATGTGGTATAGGTTTGTAGTCTAGGAGCAATAAGCTATACCATTTAGCCTAGGTGTGTAGTAGACTATGCCATCTAGGTTTGTGTAAGTGCACTCCGTGATGTTTACACAACAACAAAATTCCATAATGACACATTTCTCAGAATGTGTCTCCATTGTTAAGTGATACAGGACTATAATTGCAAATTTGAGGAAATGATCAGAATTTCCAGGAAATTTGAGAATGGTCAGATAGTTGATGTTTTTAATTTATCATAACAAAAAAATAAGCACATTAGCACATACTAGTCAATTTTTAGTAAAGCAGGTGTGAAAGAATTATAGAGAAAGAAATCATAACCACCTGTCATACAAAGGTATAATTAATCTGGGGAGCTATAAAAATAGAAAGTTAAACTAGAATGTGCTCGGTGAATTTGTTAAAAATATACTTTAGCTGGTAGGAAATCACTAAAGCACAGAAAGAAGCTCTAGGATTCACCAATCACTTTCATTCCATTAAATAATAATGTTGATTAATATTGCATTGGATTCAAAATTTTTAGTGCCCAGAAACCCCTGAATTACTCCCCGTTGATTTCAGATTGTGCTGGGCTGAAGGATTTTTTAATGGCAGTGGTAATCCCTGTCTTTCTGACTATAATGGGATAGTAGATTTTCAGATAACCAAAGTTCTGATCTGAGATGCAGGAGGAACTCGGCAATAGGGACTCCCAAGAAGCTGTGTTTCCCCAGCAAGGTGTCAAAATACTGGGAGATACCAGTTTGATGTTGGGATGCAAAATACAAATGGGTAAGACACTAAATACCATTTTAGCAATGTACTGAAGTGAAATGCAGGAGCTATGGTGCAAGGTTATCCAAGCACAGGGAAAAATAGACTCAGCTACTTTGCTGCATCTTTATATGGACCTCTGTGGATTCCATTTAATGACTAATCTCCAAATAGCCAGGACAGTGGATGTTGGGTCATTGTCAATTTCCAGAACCTACTTTCTCCTCATTCACCTGTGAGAAAATGGGTGAGTAGAGATCCTGACGTCCTGCAGGACCTCACTTTCAGTGGCTCAGAGATGGGCAGGTAGGACTCTTTTTTTTTTTTTTTTATTTTGGCATATTATGGGGGTACAGATTTTAAAGTTTCAATAAATGCCCTTCCCCCCTCCCCCCACAAGTCTGAGTCTCCAGCATGACCATCCCTCAGATGGTGCGCCTATCACTCGTTATGTATGTATACATACATAACGAGGTAGGACTCTTTATGTGGCAGATCTTCAGTGATCAACAATGGGTAGGGCTGTGACAGCCTCTGAATTACAATAGTGGAGTAAATGAGATGGGAACTCACTTTTATGGTATGTAATATTCACAGAAAGCCTTCAATCCAACACATACATTTTCTGATTTAATCCTCACATCAACGCTCTGAATTAGGCACGATAAGCTAGCTAGTAAGTAAAAGAGCAGTGTGCGTGCTGAATCTACAATCTATGTTTATTCTTCTATAGGGTATGTTTTTCATTTTCTCTTCCCCTTGGGACACCAGTGTATTAGTTTCATATTGTGTAACAAATTAACATAAAATTAGTGGCTTAAAACAATATACATTTATTAACCCTCTGGTCAAGGTTTAGCTGGTTCTTTTAGCTTCTCACAAGGCTTCATGAAGGTGTCCACCAGGTCATGTTCATTTCTGGAGCAAAAGATCCTCGTTCAAGCTCAAGTGGTTGTTGGCAGAATTCAGTTGTTTCTTGCTGACTCTGAGTCTCAGTCCTAGAGACCCCACAGATCCTTGCCACGTGGCTCTCTTCCAAGACCTCACACAACCAACATGGAAGCTTAAATCTGCAAAGCTAGTAAGGGAGAGTCTCTGTTTGTCTCTTTTTTTATTCTGCTAAGATGAAGTGTTATATAACCTAATTGAGGGCTTGTATATCCCATCGCCTTTGCCAAACTCCACTAGTTAGAAGCAAATCACAGATACTGCTCCACCCCAATTTTCAAGGAGATGGGATGAGTGATGCCTTAAGGTGTCTTAGCCACATTTAGCAACATTATCAATCCCTTTGTGACTCTATTAATCACATTTGCGATGGGGTTGTATGCTTTATGTACACAATACAACAGTAATTCAATTAAAAATTAAAATATATTTATCGATGAATAAGTAGTCAGGTCTGATCAGCCCTTTGTTTCTCTTTAACTGAATCATGAATCAGATTGATGGCCTGCTTCAGTGATGTGGTTTAACAAAAATTTAAAAGTAGCTACTTTCCATCCTCTAAAACGCTTCACTTTGTCATCTTGCCTGAAAATTTAACAAAAAAATTAATTTTGAGCCACAGTAACCTCTTTTTAAAGAAATGTAAGATTAAGAAATTAATAAACTATTAATTATTGGTAACTTGGTGTGATGCAGCTTAATCACACTACTTCCTAACTTCCACTTTAAGCCAGCAACTCTGAGTAGATAGTGCTGCATGGAAAAAGGACAAGTGATTTTTGAAACAGCCAAGTAATTGGAAGAGGCATTGAAATCACTGGGGTGATGCTGCCAAAGAGGAGGGATTTGAGAAACTGGAGGGCACTATGAAGTTGGGAAGTGTGTGTGTAGGACAGTGGGAAGGAAAGAGGAGAGAAAGTGAGGAGGTGACAGTTGGGAGCCTTCTATTAAATTTTGCATTTTAAGGCATATGGGAATGAATATAAGCTTATCATTTGTGTGAGTTAGGATTTTGGCTCATAAGCAATAGAAACTGATTCTGGTTAGTTAAAACAACCACAGCCAACAACAACAACAAAAGGAGCAGGAATGGACAGAAGAATATTAGGTAGCTCTGCAAATGGAAGAACAACAGTGTGAAGCTGGAGGAGCTATGAAGTCTAAGGCAGCTCTGGAAGTCTCTTCAAGGTACAACATTGGAACCAATGAATTATAATTACTTTTGCTTGGGAGTTATTTGGCTCACAGTTTAATTTCAGGGATAGGGAGTCAGACTGTTGAAGTTTGTTTTTGTACCCACCCCTTGGATAAATGCTGAGGGGCCAGTACACTTTGATAGGCAATCTCATTGAGTTTACATGCAATTGGCAAAGGGGTAACATTTCAGAAAAGAAAGTATTTCAGAAGGAGGGAAAAATGATCATGGAAAAACCATATTAAAAACTATGAACTAGGCCAGGTGCAGTAGCTCATGCCTCTAATCCTAGCAGTTTGGGAGGCCAAGGTGAGAGGACAGCTCGAAGCCAGGAGTTTAAGACCACCCTGAGTGAGACCTCATCTCTACAAAATATAGAAAAATTAGCCAGGCATGGTGGTGTGTACCTGTAGTCCCAGCTACTCAGGAGGCTGAGACAGGAGGATTGCTTGTGCCTAGGAGTTCAAGGTTGCAGTGAGCAATGATGACGCTATAGAACTCTAGATTGGGTGACAGAGTGAGACCCTGTTTCGAAACAAAACAAAACAAAAACTATGAACTAAAACATGGCTTGGAATTTTAATTTCTAAATAATTTTGACTGATTTTATTTTTCACACATTAATTAATGAATCCAACATATGCTTTTGAACTCCTTTGTTTCTAGAAATATTCCTGGTATTGGGACTATAGGAGCACATAATATCTTTGCCCTCATGGAGTTTACATTCTAATATAAGAGAGATACTGAACATGTGTATTATGTCAGTTAGTGATAAGTGCAAGGAAGAAAAGCTAATGTAGAATGAGAGGCTAGAGCATGATGGAAATGATCATAGAAGTTAGATAATTTCAGGAAATGAGAGAGGTAGCCAATTACATATCTTGGAAAAAGTTCATTCTAGGCAGAGGAAACACAAGTATAATAGCCTCTGGACTGCAGACACGGTCTGCAAATAGAAGGAGAGAAGAAGGAAGAGGAGGAGGAGAAGGAGAAGGAAAAGGAGAAGGAGAGAGAAGGAGAAGGAGAAGGAGAAGGAGAAAAACCCAAGAAATACAATTGGCAAGGAAGCCCTTGTGAAAGTACTTGAATCGTGGAAATTATTGATGGAAATGAGGCTTCAGAGGTAGACAGGGACAAGATTATCACTCAGGGTCTTGCAGGCTATGGAAGGATTTTAATGTTGGTGAG